CGGCGACTCTATAAGGTACCTGGTAGATGCCTCGGACTTCTACCAGCTGAGCAACTCCCGATTGCGATATTTCTGTGAAATAGCTTTGAGGCAGTCATTCAATGAGAGGGACGTACTGGGTGAGGCGGGTCCTTTCCACGGAACGCCTCATTCGAGCAACAGATGTATTCGAGGCCTCGGCAGCCCTGAATGTCGGACCTGTACGTCGAATGGCACTGGACTTTATCGCTGAGCATTTCACCGCAGTTGGTGAGCAGTTTGGTGAGTCTCTTATTCCTGCTCATCAGGCCTTGAGATTAGGTCGACAGGAGAAGCTCGCCTCTTTGGACAAGTCATTATTGGTGGAGATCTTGCGCTACTTAGCCGACCATCACACAATCAACAACGCTGGTCGTAAAGTTTGAGCGTCTCGCGCGGAGTGCGGTATTGTAGGTATGTCTGGAAGAAGGACCCCCGTTGCATCGCAAGATGTGGAGCCCGTGATGCAAAGTCTCGGCTGACAACATTATCTCGCTTTTCACAGTGTTCACTTCAATGGACTACTTGCCTTAGTGTTGTGTTGGCACAGCAAATCCTCAATCGGAGAGCGACACATGAGTGGACTTTTCAAGAGTCACTCTTATAGTCGACCGCAACAAACATATCATATGAGCATCGCCGTAAGCGTATATCACCTATGAATATACATGAAGGCTTCTATAGCCATTGAGCACATCGTCTACTGCTCACATCATGTGACATGGTTTGCACTTCTATAGTTAACGTTGACTTCGTCTTACCCTATCATCTACATCATCATCACCATATAAGCTTGTCTTTTCAATTCTCATGGTTTGTTGTGCATTTGAGTGTAGTTGTGGTGGGTGGCTCGTCGCGAGTTATATTGATGCATTACGGATGCAGAATTTCAACACTTGAACGTTTAACGTGTTCAAAAATCATCAACTTCGCGTTACATCATGCGCCATGAGTTGTACATTTTCGCAAAGCGCGTAAAACTCCACTGTAGAGGTTTGGCCCGTATGATCAGATGTAGCTCACTACTCAGGAACTCAATAACACTCATACTGGTGTGGCATCTATCTCTTCGTAAAAGTGTATTGTTACAGCAAAAATTGCCGGTTTTATCCCACTAGGATATCGGCTCGTACGAAATGAAGAGATGAGCACTCAGATCGAGCAGCACGCAGGAAGCTGGAGGTTCATATGAGCCTCTATACACAAAATCATTAAATCATATAGCAAGGCCATCGTGGGTGTAGTTGCACAGGCGTATGACCGTTACTATCTCGCATCATATTAACATTACATAGGTCTGAAAGTAACTATCTTATAAGGAAAACTAATCATCACTAGAGCTCACTTGTTCTATAAGAGAACTGCCAATCACTGTTATCGGAACTTCCAGCATACGAAGCAATCTGTTACGAACAAACGTTGGTTGTACCGAAGAATCAGTTCGCTACCTACCAGCCTGATGAGATTCTCAGCGCCAAGCTGATGAGCATAGTGCAGAGGCGTGCTCCCAGCTCTGAGAGACTATGATATTCGTCAGCCACAGCAGGCACATGAAAACTCACGCAAAATTGTTATCGCCAACAGTGATCGAGTAATGAGTCCTGATGGTTGGATCAGCACCATTCTCCAACAACACTTGTGCAACGTCGTATTCAAGGAAGCTCACGGCAAAATGAAGGGGAGTCTCGCCATCCTGAATAACCAATCAGTCTAGCACACGAACAACTGTCGTATTCAGACGGGGAGAACTGTGCTTCGAGAGATCAACAGATCGTTATGGCCACTCACCCCGTCCTGTCCGTTCGGTTGCGCTCCATGTTCCAGTAGTGCACGGATAATTTCAAGTCGAGCAGTAGAATCACAGTCCTGCCGAGCGACCGCACATATTAGAGGACTGGCGCCCTCCTAAAAACGACTTTATAATATCAACTTCCCTTAGAAAGGAAATCCCACCCTCGTTGTGAGCTTAGTTGTGTTAGCTCCATGTTCCAGCAGCAAATCCACGATGTTACTGTGGCCCTTGTACGCGGCCCAGTGTAGAGCTGACCAGCCCAACTACACAGACAATCGTGATGAACAACTAGTGCAGTTGCTTACTTCATCTGTCGAGTCTACTTTCAAAGTTGAGGTCCGCACACTGTCATGGATAATATCTTCCATCCTGTCCAGCTGCCCAAAAATTGACGACTCGATCAAGGTTTCGATGTCGTGCATTCTCCTCCCGACCGCTGTAAGGGAATTCTGAAGGCCCGCCTTTTCAGCTGAACTCAGATCTTGGCCACTGTTTAACGTAGAGAATAAACCTACAAATGTCGAGTCCGGTTGGTCCGAATACGTGTGAGAGCTTCACCTCGTCTTTCCTCCTCAAGTGAGGCAATATCAAAATTATCAGATTTCGGAGTAGCTCCATAAAGCGCTTCCTAAATGCTCACCCTTTACGAACCACACACCATCATGCACATACCTGGCCAGCCCCATTCTGCTGTAGGGTAAAATTTCCCCGGTCCCCTGAAGATACCGTCGATTCATCAGATGCTGATTCAATTGGTGCATGAGCGTCTGCTTGTTCCCAAGGCGCCCGAGTGTTGCCTCTGAAAAGCACACCCTGTTTCCGATTACTAGCGTCTTATTCTCACTCTATGTGAACCCCCATACAGTGGTACTCTTGATCATCGGGATCTGCATTGACATGCACATCGGGCGAGCGAAGAATAGATAAAATTTCCTCGTCGCCGTTGTTGTGCGCCAACTGCACAGCTTTTAAGAGCTGAAATCAGATGATGTTGAATATCACGACGGGTGAGTGAATACTCACTTGCTCAGTGCTGATTGACGGCTTATACCGTATAAGGGCCTCCACAGCGTCCTTCTGCTTTTGTTGTACAGCCAGAACCAAGGGTATACGGCCACACTAAAATCAATGAGGAATACGATGGAGATCGGAAACGTCTGCACTTCATCAATGACTCGACGTTGTATATAGATTCTCACTACTATAAAATAAGGGCCCAGACTTACGGTGTCCTCGGCGTTAAGATTAACGCCCTCTTCTACCAGAAGCTCTACTGCACCCGGATGCCCGTTCACCGCGGCAAAATGGAGGGCGGTTTGACCATTCTAACAAGGGGCGCCTTGACTCACCATTTAATCAGCACTGTGTTCACCTCGTTCGCTGCTCGAGGATCAGCTCCACGAGCTATCAACGTCTTAATCTCAGAGAGGTTGCCGGCCGATGCGGCCAGCTCGAGATCAGTCCAGCCTATCAAACCACGTCTTATACCACACTCAGAGTGTGCGGCCGAACTGACGAACCTGACATCGCCATCACCGCAGCAGGGATATATTTCCAAAAGGCTACCTCATAGGCTGATAATGAACAGCAGGGCGCTCAGAGCCAATAAGACTACTGACACCAGGGGTCATAGAAATGAGCGGACGAGGGGTGAGGGACACGACACCGCGCATCCGTGAACAGAGTTTGGGCATTGACAATGTCATCCATATACTTACAACGACAAGCGTGAATGTGCATCAAATATAATGTATGAAATTCGCCGACATAAGCGCAGGTGTCGAAGACAAAATCCCCCGGAGAGCCAGAAAAAGGTGTGTATGCGTGCAGAGGAACACTGGCACAACTTTGTCCTCCTAATATATTAACAATTGAAATAAGGGTTCTCTCACCGCTATTGTCTATCCGATTCGAGATGGGCCAAAGTCTCACATATCAGCACGCACGCCCATGCGTGAGTATATCATTGGTAAGCTATTGATAAGAATGGACATCAACATTGAACAGCTCAACATGTAGTAGTTATATTATAGGAAACATCCACACTGTTATCAAACGGTGATTCGAATGACCCGATACCCTCCACAGTGGAGCTCTTCCCGGGGGCTCCCTGCTGTTCACCATACATCGCGATGCACCCTACGCTGTAGATGCGGCCAGAAGCCCAGCATCATTACGTATGTGCATAAGATGCTCACAACCTGAGGACAGCTAGTGGTGGCTGACCCCATCATGATGATGGCATCATCACTTACGTCTCGATTTCTCATCCCGAATAGCGGCGTCTACGTCGGAAGGGAGGGGTCCGATGGAGTCCAGTATCTGTTCAACAGTCGTCGATGTAAATGCCGTCAACTAACCTGAGCTGCGATATCCCGACGCTTCAGTTGCATGGCGAAGTGCATTGCCGTCGAGCCAGACCTGAACACCCTAGATGTACGACTATGACGGGTTGCAAGCCTTACGATATTTCACAGCCTTTACCGTGGCATGATAAGCGACAGATACTCAATGACTTGATCGCAGGATCAGCACCGTTGTCGAGGAGTGAGCGAATGACCTCCAAATCTCCACCGCAAACTATAGCCGTATGAAGACAAGATAAGCCACTATCCTGTTTGCAGGGATATTGCCATAGCACTCAAGTACTGCTTACTTTCGCTATCAAATTGGGATTGGCGCCATGCTTCAGCAATAGTCTCATGAGGTCTACTGCGCCCACTCGAACTGCTTCGTGGAGTGCCGTCCTCCCCTGCAACACGACGAGATCGGTCATACACCCCGACTGATCCCGAACCTACCCAAACTTCCTTGTCGACTGCAGCTCCGTTATCAAGGAGGAATTCAGCCTTGTACAAATGGCCTCCTCTAACAGCAGAGAACAGTGCTGTTTCCCCACTCTGAAGGGACAGATTAGATAACCCCCCGCCCTGGACGCTCCTACCCAATCGACAGAGTCCACATGTACAGGTATAGCACGATTATCCTCAGGCCTCATAAGATCGGGTCGAGGGGCATCGTCAACCACAAACTTGCATATATTGAGCAAGTACTCGTAAGCTCGACTGATGGCTATTTGGATGGCCAGCGCTCCTGGATACTCGGAAACCTTCCGACCTGTCTTATCCCTAACAGATAGTAGATTCTTGAGAGCTGATCAAAAACAAGCATTAGAATTCTTAGGCTGCAAAGGCGCTACCACTACCCTCACGCTTTCGATCGATCGTGTTATACGCGATGTCTTTCCCAGAAGGACCGACGTGTTGAACTATCTGACGTACATACAAAAACCTTCAAAACCCGAGTCGCGCTCAACAACCGACCTCGTTAAGGACTTCTTCGTTGTTACCCTCCACCGCGATTCTTATCGCCGTATCGCCAACTCTGCAAAATAAACGAAATAACAGAAATCACGATTCGTCATGACAACACGTTATTACCCGCTGGTGGACTCTGTAGGATCAGCTCCCTCGTGGAGTAGCTCGCGAACGAGATCGGGCCGACGCCATAGAGCTGCTCGAACCAATGCTGGTCGGCCGTACTGAAGCGACACCATAAGAAGACTAGACGAAGATTGCGGAAGGTGTGGTATGTCGATCACAGCTTATTATCAGTAGTACAGAATCAACGCCGATGCTCAGGTTTTCTCTCAGGCTTCGTGTCATATCCCCTGCCTCCCCGGTGACCTTCTTCTCTGCTCTGCTGTATCGATCAATAGAGCCACCATCCTGAATGCGACATCAAGTACTGGTAGTAGTAGTAGTAGAGTCAATTGTGTTATTACATGTCTTTCAAAGGCGTGCGCCAGTCTATGTGTGTCTGTGGCTTGATGGCTGCATCCACCAGGATGGCATTCGCCACTGTGATGGTGGCAGAGGTTGCCGTGTTCCTTCCGACAGCACTGATGGTACTGGAAAAATGTCTATTTCCATTTTCTATCAGCAATTCCTACTACCTTCTTTACGGCACATCGCTTCGAAGTACCACGCGGTCGTCGTCGTTGGAGGCCACACGCATCCAGATCGATCCATCCCTCAATATCTGACACCGTGCTCACATGCACCTATCAATGACGTCATGTATACAGGACATAGGAGAGCCTTCGAGAAATGCGGAAAGATGGAGAACACATACGCAAGCAAAGGTCGGTTACTTTGATATCTTGCGTGGTGAGATCATCGCTGAGGGGGGAAGGATACCAGAATTCGAACGACGAGGAGGAGGGTTCTCGACTGGACTCATGTGAACGCCTCTGATGCTGACCACAGCCTTTTCGGCAGCTACCGAACCCACGTGACTGCAACGGAGCCAACAGGAGGTGCTGAATCCTAAGAAGATTTACGACGTAAGATACCAGTCTCAGTGGACGAATCTTGCGCTGTAGTTACCGTCCTACCCAGTGTGGAAAAATAGGCACATGGTCAACTACATACGTAGCTGGCAATATAAAATTTTCGGTAAATTCTCCCTGGTTTTCGTACTGTACATTTTTTAACTCTTAAGCGTGTGTAAACTTCTACAATCAGTGACGAGAAACTGCTGAGCTCAGCTGATAAAAGCGAACATAGATTCTAACCCTAATTCTACCTGCACGATGGCTGTAGGAGGTGCATGATGGTTGGATTAGGGCGCAGTGCATTTGACAACATAATGAGCAATCAAACTTAGATAAGAAGTCAACACTCTCTCAGCGCCTAGACTCCGATTGAGCCTAAATATCGAATTGAAGAGTGCTTCCAACATCCGGAGTTCCTCCGCTCCATGAGCTTTCGAGTCACGATCAACCATAAAAAGTTAGATTACTCAGTGGTGCCATCAGTCACATATAAGCGATGGGAATGTACTATCGCATCCATGTGGATACCACCATGCCTATCACTATTATATCTAATAAAGAATAAATATCACAAATCGTGAGTCACAAGATCCATCGGACCAGCGTGAGTGACAAAAGAAGCTGTAGCAACGATAGAGGTACCGCGAGGTATTCCTCTCTGCTAGAAACTCCATGGGCAAACGGGGACTAGCTTGCGTTATTATGCAATTACGAGTGGTTCTCGATGTTAGACTCTGTGAGAGAGTAACCACACAACTTAACTCGATACCTTAATAGTAGAGGGTAGAGTATAATAGGAGTGACAGAGAGCGGTCCAATGCGTGGAACGTAGACCAACTCTAGCAGAGATATTAAAGACTTCTTGTGAAGGCATCCTAAGCTTTACGAAAGCTGGAGTTTCAGTTATGAGAAAACGGCTGACCTGAAATGGTTAGAGGCTATCTTGTGCTCTTGAGTTTCCTCAATAGTACTGACGACACAGGACATTATCATAAAGGAAGCTCAACTGGTTGAGCTAGTTCAAACCGAACGGAGATGTTGTGCAAAGTGCAGGAAGGGGGGGGGGGAGGTTAGCTATAGGAGGGAAGAGGGAGCCGGGCAGCAAGTCGAAACAAATCGACGTCCGCTGCCTCGGCTTCGACCAAACGTCGAACCCACTGTTCGTTGGATTGTAGGAATTGGAGTTGTCACGTGGTTCCCTTGGGGGGACTACCGGGTGACAGGCTTCTACGGGATCTCCCTTCGGGGTGGATACTGGGAATTTGGGCTTCTCTAATGGGGGGGAGCGTACACCCCTCATCCTTAGGGTGCCCTCGGGGTTAGGACTTTCTCGGGCACGACCCGATTGGAGTGTCGGTTGACACAATCGAGGTGGGTTTAGGAAGGCCCCTTCGCGGAGAAACGGGCATCTTCCATCGGGGAATTTGGGGTTGGAGATCCCGCAGAACTGACAGGGTCGGGTTCCCCTGGAAGGAGGGATCCTCACTTTGCATATTCTATTTTCCTTCTTACCGGCTTAGTACACCTCTCTATCACGATTTTCAGAGTACTCTTCCAATTCCTTGTACTACAAAGGACCGCCTTTGAGTGGTCCTGAGTCGAAGAAGTTACACATTTGCGTTGTGCAGATTTATTAATTTTGTGCCATCGTGTCGTCACTTCTGGCTTTCTTTACTCCGTCTGCCATCGAGGATGGATATGCGACAGCAGTGGTGGACGCTGCCGCGGCCTTGAGGATTGAGGAGGTCCCGGTATTTGGTATCCTCAAAGAGGGGCAATCCACTTACAACACCCTCATCACACGGGCTACTAAGACTATCTTTGACAACCAACCAGAGGACTCGGGGGATTCACTGGAAGTTATCCAGTTACGAGTGGAGGCATATACTCGGTTGGCCATCCATCTGGCTGGAAAAGCGGTCGAGGATACAACTAAGACGGTGAATACAGCGGCTTTCATCTCTCAGTTTACTACCTTATACGGCGTCTCACCATCAGACCTCCTTCATCCAGCCCATTCGCTGATACGCTCGATGACAGATGACCCATTGTCATATAAGGAGCTACTGGTAGATGTGCGGCCTCCAGAGTCGGCTCCCGGAGACTACCCTCGTGCACAATCGTCAAGCACTCCATACGGGTCCTCTCGACAAGCAGCTCGACGACGCAAACCCACTACCATAACACAGCTCTTCTCCGCACTTATACCCTAGTTACTGACAGCTTTTGTCCTCCTCCAGAAGAGCAACATCATCCCTATCTTGGAGTATCTTGCCCGTCTCTGTGAATTACGCCAAGATACGAGGTCGGATCATGAGGTCCTAGTATTCGACGAAAACTATCGTCGTGCCCTACCAGGTTTAACTCGACAAATGGCACGTGAACAAGGAATATCAACCAGTCAAGCCCTCGATAGAGTGCTCACAAACCCTGCGGATGCTCGAGCCTTAGCTCTTGCGTTCCGTGATCGCCCACGTGTCACCCCAAGGAGCAGCACTTCGATCATACGTCAACTCCCTTCGACACTGCATTCTCAGTCAAGCTCATCGGTCACAACGGGACCAGACATCCCGTCGGATACGTGCCGCTTTACAGTAGCCACTTGTCCCTTCTTAGCTCTGGGGAAGTGTAAGTTCCCCAAACATTCAACAGAAGTTCAAGGTCCTCAAGGGACGGTTAGCGCCCGTAGCACGGGCAGTAAAAAAGAGGTGGTCAAGCCCAAGTAATGAGACGGTTCCGATCCCACCATCTTGCCTACAGTAATGGTGGGGGCATTCTAAGCGAATTTGAGGAGCTATCAGACCAATGTTCTCTTTGCTACCTCATAGGGGGTCCGGCTATAAGTCACGAAACTGGTTCGGATTGACTGGCTATTATCATCTCGGTTATACTTTCAGTCTCTAGTTTTGACATTTCTGACCATTGTTACACATCTACCTCACTACCCAACTCAAGAGAGTGACATCTTCTCCTCCTCTTTATGCGCTATCCTTCTTTAATATAAGTATTCATCTCAGTCAATCCGATTGGTCTAACATACGGACAGTTTCAGGCGGTGGATTGCTAAGTTGTTCACTGCTCACTCGGGGCCTCGGCGGCTCTGGTGACAACTCTCGGTGAGAGAGGTAGGGAGGTAGAACACCTAAGACAAGACTGCCTTTTCCCAAGTCCTCATTTATTTCAATATGACTCCTCACAAACGGTCGGACGGCGCAAGACGGTCTCGCCATATCCAGAACGATCACCGGCGGGCCTCTACTCCCCATGGACGAGCGCCACTAGGTCATCTGTGGAACACATGGTTGCTATCCGCCTTACCAGCTTTACAAGGCGCGATACCTATTATGGATGGTACTGGCGATGTTGCATCCTCACAGTGGGATAAAGTGACCCCCAACTCGGAAGGGATCTCCACCCACTGTTGGTTAGCAACCTCTTTGAACTTAGCAGTGGACACTTGGTTGCAACGCTCAGATGTTACCAACTTCTTCGGCAACTTCCTTCAAGCCTCACCAGAGGAACAGGGATCTCTATCGGCACAATGGGAAGGGTTAGGTTTACCCGAGGTGGCGTCTACCTTACGCACATCCTGGGCTCACCATCTGGCATCGGAGCGTGGCTACTCCGCATCGACCTTACTCCAACCGGCGTCTTCGGTGTCACCCTTATATCCCTCTCTCATCGAAGCTCTGCTGACGGTGACGTCACCAGGTCCTAATGAGATTACTGGCGAGCGGCCAGAGGATGACGTTATGATATGCCAACAACTTCGAGATGGGGCCCCGCTGGGAATAACAACAACCATCCACGAGTCAACATCATGGCCGGTGGCAAAACCCCGCAAGCGGAAACGAGGGGAGAGCCACGAGATCCGATGGAGATCGTCCAACTTCGAAGAGGAGTCCTTGTAATAAGGGTTTCGTCTATGTCGACGACTCCTGCTGGCGCAGTTCCAACCCGGCCCAATGCATCACGGCTCTCCTACTAATAGCGTTAGTATGTGGCATACGTATCGAATACTCCTCGATACGTATTTCGGCAGCAACAGCGCGTATCCTTGGTATCCAGGTTGATCTTCAACACCGGTCCATTGGTATCCCGGCGGACAAGCGCTCCACAATGCTACACGCAATCTCCCAACTTCTATATTCGCCGTGCTCGATCAAGATTGCGGATCTTGAAACCCTGCTAGGAAGATTATCGTGGGTCGCACAACTGGCTCGGTCATGGAGAGAACATCTATGTCCATTATTCGCCACCGTCACAATCGCCAACAAGCACAATCTACGTCACATACAACGAGGTCATGCGTTGACGGACAGCCTTGCCTTTTTCGAGCGTCAGCTTCAGACGTTTACGGGTATAACCCTACCCTCCCCGTCAAGCAAGCAATTCGTTTTGGTCACTGATGCATCGCTGCAGGGATTGGGAGGTGTCTTCTGCGAGGTTCGCCAACACGCCTCACCGACGCCCATCTCCATTGTCTGGGAGACCGTGAGTTGGTTCCACGCCCACCAGGTTGGCGACGTGTTGACGTGGTCACGCATATCACGGTTTTGTACTGGAGACGAAAACCGCCCATTACAGTCACGTGACATCAATACCCTGGAAATGATGGCGGTGACCAAGGGTGTGCATAGCATACAATCTACACTGGCCTCATCACCAACGAGTCAAGCAGGCCACAACATTCGCATTTGGGTACTGATGGACAATCTTCCTATGGTACATGCTATCAACGGATGGAAGTCGAAAAATCCACTTCTTCGACGACTCCTATTAACAATTGCGGGTTGGGATCACGCAATAAAAGCAATCCACATACCAACGACGGCTAATCAAGTTGCGGATTTCATAAGCCGCGCAACTCCACAGATGGTGCATTCGACCGCTCCACCCACGTGGAAGCACATCCAGTGGTAATGGTGGTCATCCTTCCAGGTTGTACACAGTGTCTGAGGAAGATCGGGTCTTCACGGTCTACTCCCACATCATAGCTCCATTACCAGCGGATCACATTTCACCTTCGGGAACAACTTCTCTCATCAACACGATGTGTTGTGTGCAAGCGACTTCCTATTATCTTCTTAGGTCAGATCACATTTTCAAAGATGGCTTCCGGTTCTCAGAGAAATACACATGTGGTTTTGGAATGGCTGGCCAATAGGGAACCACCGGAAGATTCATTGGCGGCGTTGGAGTTGAATCGTCAGTTCCGACGGTCGATTAAAACGTCAACGGCAAGTTCGTATGCCACGCCTATTAAATGGTACTTAACTGTCACCTCCTTCCCCGTCACCGGAGTTAAGCTCGAGAAATTCGTTCGGCTCTTAACTACCACTGGATCTCTAAAAGCTTCGACTATTCGGTCGTACACATCAGCGGTGCGGACGTTTGCCATCAACGACGGCCAACCACCACTGACGTCTTTGGAAGAAGCTCGCCTCACCCGAGCCCTACTTGCTGCGGATCGAGTGACCCCACAACATGACCCCGTCAAACGAGCACCTCTAATACCCCTTTCTCTACTCCGAAATCTACGACGGCTACCTACGTCGCCTGGCACAAGCAGAGATCTGCTTAAAGCAATCTGTTTGTTAGCCTTCTCACTAACTCTACGACTAGGGGAAGTTCTCAACCTCCAAGCCAAAGACATAGTGGTGGTGTCATCTTGTCATGCTGTTCTCCACATCCGGTTGACTTTACGAGAGTCCAAGACTCAACGACTCTCTTTTAGAGAGATCTCATGTGACACTTGTCCCTGTCGGGAATGGTGTCCAGCGCATTGGTTGTATCGTATGCAGAATACAGCTCTTCCAACGCAGCACTTGTTCCCAAAATGGACTTCGAGTGCGGTTAAACAGCAGCTTGTGAAGCTCATTGAGCAAGAGTTCCCTGGTACGGTACAACCCGCTATCCTCCGATCTCTAACAGGACATTCTTTTCGACGTACCGCTTCTAACGTCGCCCATATGATAGGTTTACCCCATGAGGCGGTCAGGCTAGCCGGTGGTTGGGCCCACAACAGCAACACGTGGCAGATTTATACTGAGGAGGAACTGGTTAAGCAGTCTCGGTCGTTCGCTAACCGTTTATTGCATCATCTTGATTCCGGATCATCTTAAACTTTTCAAAATAGTCGAGCGCGCTTAGTGTTATGGACGGAACATTAATCCACGGTTTCTCATCGCTGGTCAAGGACATCGAAACCCTGGGCCTGTCGGGAGAACGCCCTATTGATGTGTCCTCATCAATCAGGCCCAGGGATGGGAGAGGGACGGTTGGGAGGTGCCAGTACGGGAGACCTTTGACACAGGACGCCAGAGGTCTCCCCGTCCCTCTCTCCTAGGAAAATAGCAACACGAGTGTAGGGTTGAAGGAAGCTCAACTGGTTGAGCTAGTTCAAACCGAACGGAGATGTTGTGCAAAGTGCAGGAAGGGGGGGGAGGTTAGCTATAGGAGGGAAGAGGGAGCCGGGCAGCAAGTCGAAACAAATCGACACCCACCCACCCTCCCTCCCTCACCACGTACGCAACTACCTTCCTAGGGGGTACTGGAGGTGCCAGTACGGGAGACCTTTGACACAGGACGCCAGAGGTCTCCCCGTCCCTCTCTCCTAGGAAGATAGCAACACGAGTGTAGGGTTGAACAACCACCAGCGCGCAAATCTTGCAATCTTGCGCATCTCGACTCGAAATTCTCGAGCGCTCCGGTATTCCACTATCATGGATGATCGTAAAAGATGAAATAAGTTGTAATTATCTCTGCTTCGGTCTATTCGGGGAGTGAGTGATCAGCTGCGCACGCATGTACACCCGTGCACAATGGATAGAAGTAATACCGGTAAGTATTGGCAGTACTTCTATCGGATAAAGTCCTAGTAGGACTTTCCGCTCCGGACGGAGTCCATTTGCATCGCTTGAATTGATGCCTTCTGTCGACAGGTTGATACTTTATCCCAGTACAATATGCGCATCAGTACTACCGCTTATGTAGCTGGTAACATTTTTGGATTGCTCACAGCCTCCTTGGTTGAAGCAATCTACCTTCAATTTGAAGAAGATAGCACAGGGGATATCGTTCCTCTGACTCCAGACTTCTTTGCTGGTGTAGAGCTCGAGGAACCTGAGCAGGAAACGACTACTGCTAGGCCTACCATGGACTTCTCCTCCATTGACCTCGAGGACCCACTTTCTGAAAAGTGGAATACCGAAAAGTGAGCGTGACTAAATGGGTGGTGATCACTCCAGACATTCGTTATTCGTCGATTAGGCCTACGGAAAGCCCACCCGATGTGACTACGTCAACGGAAAGTCCACCCGATGTGATCAGGCCAACGGAAAGCTCACCCCATATCTCGGGGTCTGGCAGAGTAGAGAACAGTCGCACGGAAACATCTTCGTGGCTCCCAGCCATATTCGGTGTGATGATGCTGAATCTTCTGCTCACCACTGCTGGGCTGTTCATGATGGTGGGATGCTGCAACAAGTTCACGCGTGAAAAAGCTGAGTAAGTCAGACTGTAACCTTGGGGGGTACAATTTAGGTGGAGGGCAAATAAACGTCGTTATGTCAGATCAAGTTCCGAGGATGCTACAATCGTATGATCTCGACATCTTTGGAGAGCTTAAGCGGGCCTCGAGTCAGCTCCAGTTGATTCCACTGAGTGGAACATGCGAATAACCGAATGCTGTATATGGACTCCAATATGCGTTGAGTATAGGCATTCAGAACTCCAGAACAAGAGAAACGTAATCTCCTTTAGAAAGCAGTACTGGTCCAACACCTTCAGAGTTTGGACGAAGTGAAGTTTAGGATCCTGCGGGAGAAAACCCGATTAACGGTGCTCAGTCAGTACTCTCAAGGGGACTCCGTACTCCCGCAGCAAATTGATGCTAGCAATTGCGGGGGGTGGCATGCCATGATTCGGGTCGCCGAACCGACTCATGATGAGTCACTCATCCTGATGGTCTGGCCCACCCCCTGGCGCACTGGACCGAGTGATTGCTTTGGTTGGCAACTGGTAGCATAGACAGCCTTTGTGTGGACGGAAATAGCACTATGAAAAGGACGATCGCTGTACCATCTCGCAATTCTTTTTACCGTTTTATTTATATAAAAACGGCAAGATACTGTTTGAAAATTTCCGGGAAATTTTATTTTCCCGGAAATACTCGGAGTTTTTCTCTGATTGGGAGACCCCCGAGGAGATTTAACCTCCTCAATGCTGGACAAGAGCGACAACTAAGCTTAGTGTTTCACCTGATAACATTCACCTGGCATTGTTATGATCGGTATGACAGAGAACGTCCAGTAAACGCGTATTGCTCGGGGTATCCGTAACAGAAGCGGATGTGCTTCCAAATGGAAGATATGAGAGGAACATACATCTCTGACAAAGAAAAAGGATGATAAGAACAAAGTGAATACTCATGCTATGAGTATTATAGGCGGTAGTTTCCTTAACCCAAACTGCCCTGAGGACGATGCCCTCAAATGGGTAATGAACATTATGAAGTGTGCTGCTGAGTGTAATCTGCTCATGACCTTAGAGGCTCGATCAGTGCACAGGCATGTGCAGATTACTCTGTGGTGACCAGAACAACTCCACACTATCATTTCGGATCATAGGAGGATCGAGTTATGCCGCGGAATTGCGGGCGGCATCATGAGAAATCATAACAATCCAGAGAAATGGTCACACGATTTATACATGATAATGACAGAAATTGGAGAGAATGAGAACCTCTCCATTACAGAGCTGGGAGCTCTATTCACTATAGCTAGAGCCTAACTCCAGCGAGGTGTGAATAGGGCACTATGATTCGTAGTGTTGATTCTCCTCAAGGCGAAATCGTTACCGTAATGGGAATTACTTTCATCGTAGGAGATCGTTAACAGAGCGGCCTTCGCAGTCTTTAATGGCAACCAACTCCTCGAACGCTGAAAACAAGACTGTACGTGCAAACTGATGACCAAAGGGCTCACCTTGAGACTTCGCGTCTCGCACTGCAGGGTCGCAGTCGGCTTCGCTGGGCCTAACATGATCAACGATCTGAAGAGAAATATTCGCTACAACAGCCGGACGCAACCGTGTCATACCAGAGCGAATACATTATATTTCCGTAGTCTAACCGCATAATGAATTGGAGTACTGCCAGCACTGACAATCACCCAGGTACTCCTTTTCGGTTGTGATGCTATGCAGTACCTTAGCTGTATATCGGGTAGAATCATTCGTCTCTGACCCGTTGGTCTGAACGTCTGCATGGTCGCGTCCGCCCCCGCGGCCAAAAGTGCCTTAACCATCGCAAAGTGTGCATCCGAAGAGCTCTTCACCGCCCAGTGCAGCGGCGTCTCCCCACATGCCTACGCGCAGACTTCAATAACAATGTATACGCCAGGTAGAAGACTATGGTCCTTACATCAGACTGGGCATTGACATTAGCACCGTGAGCAATGAGCATATCCATCAACGGTAAGGCATCGCAAGAGGTTGCCACATAATGCAAAGGAGTTGCACCATGAATCTGTTATATCATTGAAGCAGTTGAGGTACCCCCATTAATATCACCCGACAACGCGCATCAACATCTGCACCACACTGGAGTAGCTTGTCCATTTTGAGCCGGCTACGTCTATTGGAGCAGCACGAGGACCGACCGTGAATTGCAGCGTGATGGAGAGCAGTATAACCATACTGAGGAATAGAGAGAATTTAGAGCCACTGGATCTCACTGCAATAGATGTGACCCACAATGCGCCATTGTCGGCTTGCACAACCTTAACGAGGTCGTGTAAGCGACAAGGTCACCACCTATTCCGTACAAAGTTCTGTTATGCCGCTTACATCTTGCGGAGTTACGACACAGACAAAGGCTCTCGAATAAAATGAGACAGCAACAGAGAGCAGCTTTCAATGAAGCTAGTTTCCGTCACTTGTGTCACACGATCAGAGAGAGGTACTATGAGTCAAAGCAAGAAGCGAGTTACGCCAGTGTCACCCCTCTCACCACCTCATCACGGCAATTTATGTTAACTGGAATGCGTTCTTTGTTAGGATTCATAAGGGACAGCTGTGGATACTTAGCTCGGACAAAGCGCTTAACGTCGAGAGCGTATGCTCTCCCTCGAAGAATGGCCGCTAGGATATCAGCAGCGCCGGGCATGTCCTTCACACTACGGCCCGCTTTGTCTCGTAGGATGAGTAGGTCTTCCAAGGCTGAAGATCAAATCTCAGAGTCGAGCCACTGATTCACCAATTAGGGACTTATAAGCGAAAGGAATAGCGGCACAAAAATGCAGATGCTATGACGACACGATTTATCAAGCGCGTGCGTGCATTTTATTGCCAGTCATAACGAGTACGTAAACCTCTCACGAGAATATGTCATGACGACATGGACTACCGAAGCCAATCTAAACAATTACCACCGCATTTCTCGATAATCACGGAGTATTCTATATCGGCAGCCGAAGGGCCAACGAAATTGATAATCTGATACGGGATATCAGAGTGAGTGATCTCGGTCGAGACATGTACCTCTCGGAGGACATCCTCGTTCTTGGATTCAGCCGCTACATGAACAGCGGTCTCGCCGGACCTAGAGCATGGCTCAAACCACCCGAAGAGTATTGCTAACCAAACGATACAGTGTAAAAGATCGTACGTGCTAAAACGGCATGGGTCACATCCAACGGTATTCAGCAAGTCGCGGACAAGGTCCGGACGACGCCATAAGGCGGCCCGATGAACAGGTGATCGGCCAAACTGTTAAAAATTATTCTTAGATTATTGATGTGGAGGTATCACTGTACCGAGTCGTCATGAGGACTCATATCTCTGAAGGTGGCCGGTGGCGTTATCTTATCAGCCTGCAGAGGAATATTAAGGACTGGTGAGCCGTCAACAAAGTAATAATGAAGTGAGACCCTACATTGGCACATCTAGCTTTCCATCCACTCAGCGACTGCACGCACTTCTGCTGACGATTCCTCAATGCCGTTTGCAGCGGGGTCAGACCGCTCTGTGAAGAAATGTCGGAGATACGGATTAGAGGAGTACTACCGCATCAACAGCGTTCAGGGAGGCACCATTCTCTACGAGATGCTCTATGACAAGTACCCAGCCATTGGCGGCGGCCAGATGGAGTGGCGTACTTCGGTCCTGCAGGGACACCCCAAGATACGGCTCAATCCGGGAACAACGAGCAGCACATCGGAACGGCTATACTGAGTATGAAGCCATACCACACCATTTGCACCACAGAGAATACTGAAGAGTTCGCCAAGAGGATGATACTCCGATCACGTTGAAGGGACTATCCCCATGGCCTCCTCACCATAATGCGTTCATTAACGTCGTACCCTTGCTCCAGTAGGGATTTTACTAAGTCCAGGTTCCCGGTGGCAGCCGCCAAGTGTAAATCTCCCCAACCTCCACCAGCCGTGGAGAGATACCTGAATCTTAGTATAAGGCGACTTTCCCGACCAACCAACTCTCCATTGCCTTGTATGGGCAACCCTGTCGAAAGACGGCTTCACTTGGGACCTGGGAGCAATTCATACTAGGAGTGATAACGTAATTCTGCTTACCTAGCGAGTCCACCTAGAGAGAAGACATATCTCCTATTACTCAATAGCAACCGCGGTAAGAAATGCATTAGAAAAGACTGGCAGTCTATCCCCCGGCAGCAATCGGAGTATGCACGAAAAGTGCAAGAAAGTCATGTGTGGGTTCCGAATAGGACATTGAAGGAAGTCGGAAGGGCCGCATCGCAATGACGCTCGGGAATGACGATTATGGGCAGGAACATCGATCTTCGGAGGATATTATTGACGAGCGTAGCTCATTGCTATAGGTTAACTGTTATCGCAACATGACGGACATGAGTTCATCTGCAGTGGAGGCAATGCGAGATAGATACCCTACATGGAGGAGCCTTCTACACAGCCGCTTCAATTTGCTCTTCTATGGGTCTGTGATCGACGTGCGATACACGTGGGACTCGGTTCGGCGTAGATACGGTAGTAAGACACCCCTCTTGTCTGACTTCGCGGATGAAGGGTTGGATGATGGGTATGTTGTTCGAATTGAAGGCTACATGGCATCACCTCGAGGCATGAGTAGTACCCCTGTAGCAACGTCATCCACGGCCCTCTACCTTCATCCTAGATGGAGCTTCAATACTACACCGGTGTCTGCTCGGCATCTTCGATTTCGTTTTTCGGCATGCTCTCGTTGCCAACGATGCGACCTTGCTGGAGATTGCACGAAAATTGGTACTATGCATCATAGTGGATATCCTCACTCCTCCTTCCGTTGTTTCCCCCCTCAGGCACAACTCTCTCAGTACCATGCAAGGACCTCATCCACTCCTACTCGGATCTACTTGGTGATAAAACCTTCTATTTCCTATCATATTTTTACATGCATTCACACCTTTCGGAGGCCTAAAACGATTCTGATAAAATCAAATCCGCTTGAGGGACGTTCACGGTGTTCCTGGTCAGTATGGATGGCTAAGATTGAATGGACTTGGCATTTCTAGGTCAGATTTAACTATACTCCTAAACTTTCAAATAAACCGGGTATGATACTAATTCTCTTGATACTTTATTAAAGCTGTGGGTAAAATATTACCTAAAAAGGTAAAACATTAACCAAATGGGTAAAAAGCTAGATTTGTCGGGAAAAATTTATCTTACCTGGAAATGCTGTAGACTTGTAGGAATGGCATATCGGCCCCGAATGGAGTTACTCGGAAAAAGGGAAAATGACTCTTTTATTCTGTCGAAACTGATGTTCCTACGTCGTGTACGTGTGAAATAGATTGTATTGAGACGTACCTTGGCGTGGCATAGTTGCCCCGGTCGGAATGATTGGCCGTACTTGAGCATATCTTGGAGTGGCATAGTTGCCCCGGTCGGAATGATTGGCCGTACTCGAGCATATCTTGGAGTGGCATAGTTGCCCCGGAGTAATTATTCATTTTTGAGTATATTTGGGTCTGGCATAGGTGCCCCAGTCGGAGTGATCGTTTTCATCAATATGCCATATATTCATACCGTGTTTCCTCCTCATCCCCTCCCCCCTTACGTGGTCCCCTTACTCGTATGGATTTTGTTACTACTACTACTACCCTGTATAGGTTATAGATAATATGGAACGGCTTGTAGAGTATGGAGGAGATGAAGTCCTACAGTGCTTAGGGACGATAGTGGCAGGCTCGCCCACGGTACCTACTTACAAGTGCTGCTATCTCATAGGGAGCTCTATTAGATTCACTTGATAGCCTCAGTAGACCATCATCGATCGGCTCTGATGGGTAACATATTGGAGACTTTCGCTTTCGTCAACATACCTGTGCATACGAGGCTAGACTACAATCGCGAAGTAGGACCATAACAACGTTTGGAAGGGCAGCTCTTCTCTTAAGGTCATGGCTTTCAATGACAGAGTATTACCGACTTGGACAGGGCTCGGTGGTGGTCTTGGAGAGGGTTCTACAGTGTATGGAGGATCAGGCTTGGCTGTGGTGGGAATATACGCTCATATGGAGTCCAATCTCGTTGTAGCAGTGCTATAGGTACTCAAATCTCTCACACCGAATCATCTTAATTTACTCAAACATCTGGCTCTTCTTCTGATGGAATCATCGGAGCCCGATGGTAATAGCCATTGCTTGTTGGTACCAGTTCGATCGAAACACAGGGACCGTCCACTTCGACACGCTACTGAAGGTGACAAAGAGGAAGGCTATCGCCTCTAATCATGTCAAATTAAAGTCCTTGCTCACCGAACTGGTAGTGAAGCCAAACGCCTTTTCCACCTACTGTCATCATCAGATCGATCATCGCGTGGTCATACAGCGCCGGTCGCCTACAACGGGAGCTCAGATGTATCATATGCCGTAGTACAGGGGGGTCTGATTCATGCGCATAGGGTCGTCACGATCATGCACTTCTCGGTGCACTTCTGCACATGACTCGAGGGTTTTCGTCGGTGTGGTGGTGTAGGTATGGTAAGAAGCAGATCGAGGTGATAGGCCAAGGGGACTTCGATGCGGTGGATAAGGTGTGATCGACATCACGATCATGAGAGGTTTCATAATTCGTCATAAACTTTAACTGTGGTGTTCATACGGCCTAAGCCAGTTCGGACATACTGTTCGTAGCCATATTATCTTAGCTACTCTCATGCCATCGAGAATTCTCCATGGCTTCTCTACACTACTTCGAGTAACTCCTCAAATGTTCCTATGCTCAGCTAGTGTGGTACTGCTGGTATTTGCAGCCTCATCTCTGGCCTCACCCTTCTATGACCTCCTCAACCCCAGGATCAACTGGATTGGTCTACTAATAGCTGTCATAGCCCTTTCGGCTTCGTTCGCAGGGGCTATACAGTTGGTTCTAGAAAAGGATGATGATGATGTAGCATGCACGGCTAGAATCCACTACCTTGTTCTTATTGTTATTGTATCTTGGCAATTGATAATAGCAACTCTGGCACAGGATTACGTATGGACGGTAGAATCGGTGTTGGATTCTGGAGGTATTGCGAATACTGTGGGAGAACAGAACATTCTTGACGAGGTTAGGAGAGGTTTCTATAGTACATGGGACCGGTTCTCCTGTGGAGGAGGGGAATGCCTAGACACGTCCTGTCAGAGCATAGGGGCTATCACTTGTGATAACGCCAGAGTTACCTCGGAGTTGAATCGTTGGATCAGCTCTGGGGTAGCATGGACTCCCTCGTGTCTATCCGGAAATAATATAGGTGTTGAGAATGCGTGGTGCTTTGGGAAAATGAGGTGCCTTGAGTGGTGTGTATATAAGTGGCAAACGAACTCGACAGCTCTATGGGTTGCCTTTGGAGTTTTTGTAGTATCAACTGCATCGATTTTCTGGACCATTCATCCGAGGAAGTGGCACAGACTTACCAATGGCGTCTTCAACAGAAAGGACTCCTCTTATTATTACTATACAAGGGAAGCTTCGAACGGCTGCTGGGAGCAGTAGGATCCCCTGTTGAGATTATAGTTTTTAACTCGCTACTTGTACTATACTTTTGACACTATTAATCGTATTATAATAACCATTCTCTAGAGTTGCGTATTACAATCAAGTCTATATCATTTACCCTCACAGTTGGACTGCGTATGACTACCGCTCATCGTCCTACTTTTCACAATGCTCTCGGAGCTAACAACTCGAGCAATCAGCCCATCCCTACTATCTTCAGAAGGGCCCGAGATGAGCCTGGTACTATCGCCTTGTTCCTATCTGTATAACAAGTGTTTGCACAGGTCACCTCACGTTGAAGTTTCGCGAGTCAAAAGATACTGGTGGGTCCAACAAAGAAGCGTTACGGAGAGAGCTAGAGAAGAAGGAGAAAGGGGTCAAGCGCGCATTAGGTCATACCCTATACTTCACAATATCTATATCTCGGTATTAGAGCCCCCGCCGGACTCGGCGTTTCCTGAGGACTGTGATGAGGACCCCGATGCGGGTGGAGGGGATTCGGGGACAGAGTCGGAGGCCGATCGAGGTAGTGGTCCTACTCCTTTGATATAAGTGGGTCTTTGCTTGTATAGATATGGTAGGACTGCTATTAGGTGGCCAAATGGTTGTGTTCAGACTCGAGTGGTAGTGATGATGAGGAAGACGAGGAGGAGGCTGAGTTGATGCGAGAGCTCGCCAAGATCCGCGCGGAGAGGTTGCATGTTTGGCGTGATCGATTTGTGGTTATTTGTTGGTGCTGTTTGTAGGGCGGCCGAGGAGGCTAAGGCGGCGGCGGTTGAACAGGCTAAGGAGGAGGAAGAGGAGAGGCAACAGATTGCTGTTGGGAACCCTCTCTTACAAGGTGGAATCTGGGGAAGGTGAAGTCTCTTTCTTCATTTAGTACGTGTAGTTACACATGATGAAAAAGTGTATATTCATGACCTCCTTGATTCATATATGAATATACCCGTTATCCTTAGAATTCTATTATATTGAATACTCACTATTGATGTGATCTCGTATAATGGAGTTTGAGCAGTGATATAAAAACACTAGTGGAAAAAAATATATTTTACAATCACTGCATACTACCGCGAATATTGGGTTTTTTCACTGAGTATCACGCTACTTCACGTAAAATGGGTGAAACTCCATTTATATTCTACGACGGAAAAAACCTTTTCACACACTTCCCGACTTCCCATAGTGTAGTGGGTGGAATGGAATGTACATGAAATTTAGACACTTTATATCCTCCAGATGCTTTCCGTACTCTAGATGGTAGTCTTACTGGAGGGTAAATGTTTAGTGTTAGGTGGCGGCAATATGCAATTGAAGCGGAGATGGGATGATGACACTGTGTTCAAGAATCAATCTAGGAACCAGCCTAAGGGCAAGAAAAGGTAGTGGGAAGTGTCGGGGAGGGGTACACTAGTCTCTTGTTAGGTTCATCAACGATGCGGTCAGAAGTGACTTCCATAGGAAATTCCTGGATAGGTATATACTGTAGCCAACCTGTTATATTACAACAACGTTTGATATGCAACAGTGTCGAGTTAATAACGGGAATCCCTATTTGTATGTTTTTATAAAGGACTACGCGGCAGGCTTAGTTGATAACACTCTCGACATTCATACAGAGTGCGGCGGTGATGGCCAGCAGCAGCAGTTACAGTTGTGGTGTTCGACGCGGGTTGCAGTATTAAATCTGCTGGGGTTGCGAAGTATATGAGTATATGCGTCAATGAGGGTGTTGGTAGTCTTAAAGTATTGTAGCAATGAAGAGGTCCTTAGAGTGAAGTATTGTAGCAATGGAGAGGTCCTTAGAATAAAGTATTGTAGCAATGGAGATGTGTAGTTCCTAAAATAAAGTATTGTCATTTGCCACCGATCATATTATTATGGTTGATCGCTGAGACTAGGTGTGGCGATAGGTTTTATGGCGAGGAGTATGGGAGGGAGTAGCTTTCTACTAGCAACACTGATCGGTGATAAATGCTGACGGTGTGCAGCGATGAAATAGACTAGGTAATCGAGGCGGGACTCGGTGGTTATATGAGGATCGCCTTCATCGTGCTGTCCCCGATGAGACCAGACGGATTTCGTTTCAGTATTTATAGCCTCATATACTCTACAGTGCCTTACACATGCCCTCTCGGGGCGAATTGCATGCCATTACCGTTGTGGCGTAATGTTTCTAGTGACAGCTGATTGTGTTATAGTCTCCGTGTCACCACAGTAGCAGGCCCCTTGTGTGCTAGCGTTATAAACCACGTTGAAGTGCGTATTGAACAGTACGGTTTTGGGGGGTTTCTGTTGATGGTCGGTAACACTCCGACAGAGTTGTTGGTTTTTTTATAATTTCTCGTCACCATCATGCCAAGCTCACGTCAGCCCGGCATGATGCTCCCATCGGTGATCAGTAGGAGCAGGGAGCAGTCTCCTACTTTGGGGGACTCGTCGGCCTCTGAGGACACGCAGCAGCATCGTCGAGAGAGTGTTCATGGTAAAAATTAATGTCTGAAAAATAACAGATAAAATTTGTGGTATTTTCTTCAGAGTATTCGCCGTATCATCATTTCACCATCAGAGGCTCTAAAGGGTTGACGCGGAAGCTCACTCTAGGGGTGTGCTGCATGCAGAATAAGGCTACTAGTAACCCCATGCAGTCGTTGTTGAGGAGACTAGATGCTAGTGGTAGTATCTAGGGGGAGGGGGGTAGTTGAAATAGCGGAGTTCAGGGTTGGAATATGTGTTTGGTTTATGCAGCTGAGCTCAGAGGAGTTCACTCACTTGTATACGAACTCGAGTAGAAGTGTAGAGAAATCAACGGGAAATCTTATGAATTTGATGTTGTCACCAACACATGCAGTTGACCATGTGCGTATGTCTAGTTCTCTGTGGTGATCTCATCGTGGTCGTTAGGTAGTCTAGTTTTGCAACTAGGGAGCGACTATGATAATCTAAATATGTATAATATCACTGTTGATGAACTCAGAAGCCTGTCTGTTTGCATACAATAATATTTAATACAGTGGAGTTTCACCCTAGTGATATGAAAAACAAACTTTATACGACTACTGCATATCACCGCGAATATCGCGTTTTCACCGAGTTTTACGCCACTTCACGTGAAACGGGTGAAACTCCAGTAATATGATAATAACCATATAGATATACACCAGATATATTACTTCTAACATATATGAACACTGTAGGTGCCTTCAACATCATCATTTTCGATGAGAAAATGATCCTGGAACAGGACGTATCCGAATGGCCGATAGTCCAGTGTTACGTGTCTTTCCATTCGAAAGGCTTTCCACTTTACAAGAGCTTGGAATACGTCAAGATGCGCCATCCAGTGGAGATTAATAAGGTAGGACATGTGAATGGGAATATATGTGTGCTTTCCTAATCTACAGTGTGAGAATTTGTACACTCCTCGAGGTTGATCTAGTCTTCAAATCTGCATAGGAATTTATTGAAATTTTCTTAGTGTATAACACTAGGCGTGAAATCTCTCACTGACTTTCTGGGAGGGGGGTAGCTATGGGCAGTAGTTCATCGAGTTTGCCAACAATACTACTGTTGCGTTTCATTGACTATGTGTAGGTAGAAGACCAGCTGAAACTACGGAATAGGCTTACCGTCTACGAGACGTTGAAGTCCCACGATATACCCTGCCCGGACTATATGGCGATCGATCATCTGGAGTATGGGGACCATCAGGTGGTATAGGGCGGGGGCTCTCATTTACTAGCGTGAACGGGCGTAATGAGGAGCTCCAATGGATTTTCTCTAGTTATTTAGTTTGTAGAAGCGGGGCCTAAGGGGCCTCTTGTTCACTAGTGTGAGAAGGCGTGTGATGAGCGGCAGTTGAAATGGTCGGATGGGTTTGCTCTGATTTTTCAGTTCGTGGAAGCAGATGATTATATTATTTACGACGGGCGTAAGTTGAAAAAGCCCTTTGTTGAGAAGCCTCTAGATGGGGATGATCATAACATATGGATCTACTATCCAACTAACGTCGGAGGTGGATGCAAAAAGCTCTTCCGGAAGGTGATACTACATTTCGGAAGTTGTGGGAATTTGGTTTCAGATCGGTGACAAGTCGTCTGAATTTGATGCGAAGCAGTCCCGCATAAGGAAGGATAAGAAGTATATATATGAGCCGTTCCTCCCAACAGGAGGAATGGATGTTAAGGTTTATATGGTGGGAGAAATGTATAGCCACGCTGAAGCCAGAAAGTAATAGTAAAGTTTCGCGAGAGTATTCGAGAATACGGTCATTTTCAGAGCCCCTACTGTAGATGGCAAAGTTATGAGAAATAATAACGGCAAGGAAATACGATACCCTATTACGTTGAGTGAAGTAGAGAAGGCTTGTGGAGCCTTGATAGTGCAGGCCTTTGGGCAGTTCGTGACTGGATTCGACGTTCTACGTGAGTTGGGGGTGTTGTCTTGCCTCTAGTTGTGGGGATGGGTTGCTGTATATAGGTACAACGGGACGGTCTATAGTGTGCGATGTTAACGGTTGGTCATTTGTGAAGGGGAATCAGAGATACTATGACGACTGTGCTATACTCGTCCAGAAGTTCTTCCTGGATCGGTTTCATATTACATTCACGATGCCTATACCAGCTCTCAAAAATGTAGGTCTGGGGGGCTCGCTGGGCTCTCGAACGCTGTAGGAATGTATGTACCCGTATGACGATATATGCGGTCTATGGTGGAGAAAGTAAGGAGTTGTTAAGCAATCACAACAGGAGTATCACTGGCGCCACATCTACGTAGTTCGACATGTTGTGGTAACATCTTCTAGGTGGTTTGAAGCAATCGAACCTTCCTAGAGCGATTCGAGAATTCGCAATATACAATACTCGTTCGGTTGTATAAAATGGTGATTGTAGGGCTTTTTGATATGGTAGTAAAATTACTCTTCTTATGGATACTAGTTATATAGGATTATGAATACTCATGAATTCAGTGGGAGAAATAATTTCACTGGGGCGGAGCTGAGTTTGTAGAAGAGCAGTGGTTGGCCAGTGCGTGTAGCTACTGTAGGGGTTTAGGGCATCGCAGCATAGGATTTGTCGTCGGCGTGGTATTACTCGAGGTTCTTGGTATTTTCTTAGGAGGACCGCATGAGCGAGCCGATTAATAGGACAACTCCCGAGGTTGATGAAGCTGATGAAGAGAACTTCCAACATGACAAGTTGAGAGCGGTAAGACTCGTATCGTGGGATTTGAAAATGGTGTGGTATGATACAGAGAATCATCCGGGAGCTTATAATGTTCCTGGGGGGAGGGGAATTGATTTTGAATTTTCCACGTATGGCTATGAATACATTGTTCAATCAGTTTCCCGTGTGAATGTCATTATCACATTAGGAACATTCTTCTCAGCGTTATCAGGCATTTGAATGTATGGTGTGGTATGGTAGGTGATGATAATAATGCGGCATGGCGATCGGAAGCCGAAAGAGAAGCACAAGTTCAAATCCTCCCACAAGTATTTTTTGGACTACGTTAATGGGTAGTAGACTAACGCTGTGGCCTAGGGGGAATCTTGGGGGCTTTCAGGCGTGGTAGAGTTGATGATGATGA